ACATTACAAGATAGTCTCTGGCTTTTCTTTAACATGATTAAAACTACCACGACACTTGATTTTATATATAGGGCTCAGCTATAAGGCAAACTGTGCCTTCTTCTTGCTCCAGCCCTTAATTTTGATATATGTATATGCAATGTTAACATTTTTTAACGGCGAAATAAATTACATTATAAAAAAAAAAAAAGAGATTACGAAGCCAACCCGTGATTTCATTTCGAAACTTAAAATTTCCTGATCTTCACGAGATTTAGTAGAATTCCTGATCTTCACGAGATTTAGTAATTGGGATTATGATTATTATACACCTTCACAACTTTTTAATTTATATAACATAAAAGAAACATGGTTCCAGAAGGATTGTTTTTTTTTTTCTCCTTTTGTATGAACAATTTTTACAAGATAAATTTAAATTTTTTTTGTTTTTTTTTGTTATTTTAGGTGCCCCAAGAAGACCTAACGGTCTTGTCACAGAGCACTGCGGAAGTACATTTAACCAGAAAGCTCACGCCTCCTTTCTTACCGTGATGCGAAAATATGCCCAGAGCTCGTTTCTGAAGCAAGCGCTCTAACCACTGCGCCACGGCCCCAAATTAAATATTTATTTTCATTATTAATTTCGGTTAGACTTTAAGAAGATTGCAGTATTTTATCATAAAGATCCTGCAATCTTTTTAATTTCCTTCCATTAAAAATATTTTAAGTTAAAAAAAAATATTACAAACATTTCTAAAATTAAGATGTTTAAGAAAACGAACTAATTTAAATCCTGATTTATGTTAACATGAATAAATCAATTATCATTAGTTATTTTAATAATAATATAAAAAAATTATAAAATTATTTTTTTATTATTTTGTTGAAATTCACTAGGAGCGCCAAAAAATCTAAAATATTTTTCAAAAATTTATGTTGGTGTTGCTTAAAATTCATCACAATATGGAGAATTAGATCAAAGACATTTAAAATATAAAATTAAAAATAACTCAAAATAAAAAATAGGCTAAAACTAGAAAACAAAACAAACAAAAAATTAAATAAAAAAATTAGTAAGCTTCAACTTTATAAGATGGTGTAGTTTAATTTTGATTTTCATCATCCACAAATTCTTTCCGAATGACTCTCAGTTTCATTTTCTGCTCATTTAGTGCACATTTTATTTATTAATGTTTTATTTCATTATCTATTTTCAAATCATTTTTTTCTAAATATTTATTATATGGTATACCAAGCTCTATAAAAATAGATTTCATTTCAATAACTCCATCATTAAATTCAATAATAGCTAAAAATACAGATAATTCAATTACTTTCTTTTACACAAATACACCTTTATAGCACCTTTTTTCAAATAGCACTATATAGTTCCAAATTACAAATAGGATTATATAGTTACAAATAGCACTATATAGTTACAAAATATTATTCAATTGTAAAAACTGCAAGTAAAAAACTCTTATTTCAAGTTGTAAAAATGTTGTTTTAAAGTATAGATTTTAAATAAGTATTGAGTTACTTCTTTAATTTAAATATTATTCTTACAACTTGATCTCAAGGAGACTATGGTGGTATGGTGTTGCTAGAGACATTTTTGTTTTCAAAAATTTTACATTAAAATGAGTTTTTAACAATTTATTTAATATTTCAATAAAATTTCAATATATATATATATATTTTTTATTATTATTATAGTTGTAGCCGTAAATTTATATAGAATGTACGCATACAGCAAGCAGGAAAAACACCCCACTATAAACAACCAATTTTATAAATATTTGTTCCAAACTTATTCCACAACCAGGAGTCTAGTCTATTTTTGAAGGAAAGTACAGTGGAGTACAAAGTTATTTGCTCTGGTAGTTCGTTCCAGTATTTTGCTGATCTATTATACAAATGATTATATCTTGGAAGACAGTTTGGAACATAATCACGCCTTATTTTAGAATGGTGACCACGAGACATGGAGTTAATATATTTTGGTAGATATTTATCATTAACTATATCAAAACGATGTATTAATTTAAAAATTTGGATTAAATCGCATCGAAGGCGTTGAAACTCAAGTGATGGTAGATTTAATCTTTTTAACCTTTCGCAGTATTGAAGATGCCTCAAGCTGTAAGCCCATTTTGCGTTGAACAGATTCAACCAAAGCCATATCAGCTTTTAAATAAGGAGCCCAAATGGACACTTCATATTTAAGATGTGGTCTGATAAATACTTTATATAATTTGAGAGCCATTTTTTCATCAATGAAAGTGAGTGTCTTTTTAAGCATACCAAGAATTTGTAAGGACTTAGAGACAACTGTTTGAATATGAGCGCTCCACTTGAGGTTAGATGTAAAAATGACTCCTAAATCACGTTCTTAAGTAGAGCTTCTTAGACATTGGTTGATTCCTTGGTTATTTTGCAGAAAGTAATTGTAATGGGGGTTGTTTCGACCGTAATAAATGACGCAGCATTTTGAGATGTTTAACTTAAGTAACCAAGTGTTTGACCACTCGTATACCAAGCGTAGACGATCCTGCAGATCAACAAAATTAGATTGCGATAAAGTTTTTGTAAAAAGTTTAGTATCATCGGCAAATATCTCAGAAGTTTCAGTGAGTTTTGCAAGATCATTTGTGTAGAGAATGAAGAGGAGCGGGCCGTGAACAGAACCTTGAGGAACACCACTGAGAACATCAACCTATGCAGAGTTGGTATTGTTAGTTGTAACGCGTTGCTTTCTGCCCACTAAAAAGGATTTAATCCATTGTAGGAGTTTGCCGTTTATTCCGAAAGATCTTAATTTTAACAAAAGTCTGTTGTGAGGTACAGAATCAAACGTTTTGGCAAAGTCAAGATAGATTACATCAATAAATTGGTGGAATGCTATGGAGGACGATATGATATCAAAAGTTTCTATTAGGTTAGTTACGCATGATTTATGATAAAGGAAGCCATGTTGATTTGCAGAGAGCATTTTATTACCGTTAATGTGCTTTAAAATTTTGTTCTTTACAAGTTTTTCGAAGATATACAGGCAACGGATGTTAATGAAATAGGTCTATAGTTTTCAGCAAGTAATTTATCTCCCTTTTTTTTTATAGATCGGACTAATATTTGCTAATTTCCATTGACTGGGTACTACTCCAGAATTAAAGGATTCATGAAAGATTTTTGTTAATGAAATTGCAAAGCTTTTGGCACATATCTTGAGTATTAAGAGATGCAGGCCGTCAAATCCGAAGGATTTATAAGGGTTTAGATCGGCAAGTTCCTGAATAATATCTGGGATAGAGAAATCCAAGTTTTCATTATAAATGCATTCAGAATAAATACCACTTTTATTTAGCAAAGGAAAATTTTCAGAGCTTTCAAGTGTAAACATAGATTCAAATTGAGAGTTCAGAAGATCAACTATATCAGGAAGAGCTTCAATAATTCTGCCAGAAGTATCTTCGAGAGAGCGAATTCAATCTTTAATTTTTAGTTGTTTGTTGATATATTTGTAAATAATTTTGGGTTGTTTTGGGATTTTGATATTTTTTCTTTTTCATGTGCTTTTTTTGTTTTAAATATTTCAGCTTTTACTGAACGATTAATTCGATTGTTTTTTATTTTAAGCTCACTATTCTCCCATTTGGTAGAGCAGTTAATATGCCTAGCGGATTTTTTTGCTCGGATCAGGTTTTAAAAATTTATATTATTTAAATTACTTTAATTTTTTCATGGGGAAAAATCAAAATAACTATTTTTGATTTTTAAAAATGATAGGGGGTATGAACCACTAATGGTATGTATTGCAATATTCTTCATATATTTAACAAATTTTGATATTGTACTTTTTATAATAAGGATATATTGAAATATTAGAAAGTATTGTAAAATATTATATAACAAAATATTTTTAATATTCTATGTACAAAATACAAAAAAGTAAAAACCAATACAATTAAAATACAAAAAATAGATTAATAAATTTGCGTTAGAGACAATTACTTTTATTTTCTGTTTATAGGAAGAATAAGTCATTTAAAAGAAAAATTTGTTTTCCATTGAATACGACAATTGCAAGAAATACAAAATAGCTCATTTTTAGTTAGGTAAAATGGCTCATGAATTTTTTTAATTACACGAAAGTTTATTAAATCTTTTTGGGTTTCAAATTAAAGATTATGAAGACATTATTCAAAACAAAGGATCCGCGGTTCAAACACCACCACTAGGAAAGTTTTGCGACATCGGTTAGGAAGGAGGCATGAACTTTAATTAAAATAATTTAATTAAAATGAAATTTAATTAAAATTAATTGCTTGTTCGCGGTGCTCTGTGACAAGACCGTAAGAACTTCTTCGAGCACCTAAAATAAAAATTAAAAATTTTGTGTACATTTTGTTATAGATTTTTTTAATAATTTTGAAGACCGGTTTATTTTACTAAAATGATTAACAAACGATTTTAAATAATTTTTAACAAACTCGTAATTCTTATCATTATCAGGTATTTATTGAAAAACTTGGGTATAGAAAAAAAAAGGAAAGTTTATCGTTAAAATCTTGTTGCCTTATAATGAAGAGAGATTAGGTTTTTAATTTCGTTACAATAACGTTATCAGGTAGTTAAAAAATCAAACAAATGACTTGTAAAGGAAAAACTCAAATTTACGAGATGCAGCAACTTAGCACTTCAAACTTAAATAGTAGCTTATATAATATACTTATTGAAGTCCGCCAGAAGATATTTTGAAACCCGCCTTCAACGGCTTCTACCTCCCAACTAAAAGCGTAATTGTGGCCTCCCACTGTCAGAAAAATATATAAAAACTTGTCAATAAATCCAACAAAAATATTTTGGGAAAGAGCCATCGACTTCCGTCACCCAAAATAAGTTTTCGAAAGCATGCTTTCTTGACGCCGGGAGGGATGCTTTAATAGATAATATAAAATAGAGGGACTCTGACCTACACATTTTGCAGCATTAAGTATCTGGAAAAAAGTTAAAAGCCAATATTAAATAAAAACTTTTCATTAAAAATCAAGTTTTATTATTCGTTTTGCGTATTTTGCAGATGGTCAATTGAAAATAACTGCAGCATTTCATTTTCTATATAATGAATTTCACCAGGTATGATTAATGAATGAATAGGAGGACCAAGATCTATCTTGCTAACTTCGTTCATTGTACCAAATACTATTTTTTGATCTTCCCACCCAACTCTTGCCAAAGCCACGCAAAAACTACTGTCGTCTAATACTGGAAGAAAAAAAAAAGAAGCAATGTTTAAATGACAATTAATTAAAGTTCTATATTTTTATACTCTGAAATGTTACATAGTTGTTTTTTATTTATACTCTAAACTAATATACAACCAGTAGTATTTAAAAACAAGTCTAAAAGTAAATTATTTCGAAAAATATTAGCTGCTAAGGCAGTTGTTTCATAAAATATTATTTTAAACAAATTTTTAACAAAAACCTTGTTTTTTCTCGTTCTTATTCAAACGTCTTTCGTTAGTAACTTCAAGCAGTTGGTTTATGGCTTCATTTGCAGTCAAATAGCGCGGTGGTTCAAATATTGCTTTACCGCTAAATTAAAATGTTTCATTATTTTTATTAATGTTTATACATTTTAAATATCACATTTTTAAAATCTAGGATATACTTAATTATAAACCGTTAAAAAAAAAAAAAAAAAAAAAAAAAAAAAAAAAAAAAAAAAAAAAAGTAAAAACATTAGGTAAATTAAAAAATGTACCGCATCATGTTTTCAATGCTCTGTTCTTTGACTTTTATATCTAAATAAGTATTTTTATACTAAAAAAAACCTTTAAAATGCAAATCTATTAAGGTACATGTGGCCATTACACTAGTTTGTGTAATTGACAGAAGAGGTCGTGTATATGAAATTATGTGTGCTTTTTAGAATCATATTAGCACCCAATCTAGATACACTTATCACCATTTGATTTACATAAATATTAGTCAGCACATTTGAGAGAATTGCTATGCCTAATCATGACGCTGTTAAACCTCGTATAGAAACTTAAATTTAAAAATATAATTTTTATCTTTATGGTACAGACACTGTATTTAATCACATTTATTATACTATATATCACCTGTATTATAAATACTACTGTATTTACAGCTGATATTGTTACTTGATACTAGCTAAGCTGTTTTTTATTTGCAAGCAAATACTTCGATTACTAATTATAGCAATTTTACATATATCTTTTGTATATAAGTAATTAAGTTGCAATATTTTTTTGATATTCAAAAAAAAAACATTTTGCATATTATTAAGATACAAATGAATCAAAATACTTAGAAAATTTTAGACATGACAACTGACAAATTGTATATAAAATATATCTAACATATACAAATACTTTTAAATATTTTCATTCTTTTATTATTATTTTTTTTTATTGCTATCTAAATTTTGATCTTTTAAAATTTTTTATTCTAAATTCTTGTTTTCATTCATATCTGTTTAATTTTTCAAAAAAAGACTACTTTTAAATAGAAATAAACAAAATTTACCCAAAAGACAGAGGGTGTGTAATTTTCTTTCTTTGTTAGCAATTATTTTGTCATAAAAGCTGTCAGGTCGCCAATTATCCTGCCACATCACTATAGAAACTGTTTCGCCAAAATTATAAAGCTAAACAAATAAAAAAAAAATAAAAATAAAAAAATAAAACAGAAAGCAAAAGATTTTAATTTGAGAAAAACTAAAACTAAAAATGAGATTTCATAATATCAAATCAAATAATATATATTTTGAAATGTTTTTACACCGAAGAAATTTACAAATAGCAGCTAATCTGAAGTAAACACCTGTCCAATTGAAAAAAATAATGTGGTAATATAAATTTATAATAACAGACATAATAATTAGTAAGTAACTAAAAAAGTAACAGTAAAAAGATAATATAAAAAAAACATAATAACTAAACATAACATTATAATAACAAATTATTATCATTTTTATGGGTACTAATTGTCAGTTGATGTAGCAGTACTCCTTACCCATTTGTCAACTCTCCTAGCATGTTCCATCTTTTTTTTCAAATTAATTCCTACATCCAAATTTCAATATTATTCCGTATAGGTATTTTTGATGTTTTTCCTTCTAAGTAAATTTTGATTTTTTTTTTTCAAAACAATTCCTTAAAGTTAATTTTCGATATTAATTCCAAAAAAACTTTTCGATCAAATTTTTTTTTGATATTAATCCATTTTTCAAGCAAATTTTTTTTGATACTATTTTGTTTCCCATTTTTATTAGTAAAAATAAAAATAATTAACATTACTATAAATAACATTATAATTACAATTATTATTTTTTATAACAACATTTTTATTTCTATTACACACTATTAGTTTAAACTAGTTAAAATATTTTTTATTTAATTTAACAACTTCTTTCTTTAGCAAAATATTTCTACATGCATCATTAACTATGTTGAGCATTTTGTTTGAAAGAGCATTAAGCATTTTGTTTTAAATTAAAATTTTTTTTGACTACAATTTTTGTTTGACAAACTTTAAATATAAATTTATTTTAACTATGACAAACAAAAGGTGAAGCATTATTAATGATTAACATGCCCACTATTTAAAATGCATTAATGCAAAATGTTTAAAAAATAATGCATTAACATTGATTGAATGTTTCTTTAAAAATATTTACAAAAAATAAATTCATCATAGCTTAAAATATAATTCGAACAATTCGAAAAGGTCCAAGCCTTGAAAGACCAAGTCTTGAAAAATATAAGTTTTAGTTATTAACAGATCTGAATTCTAGGTAAGAAAATCCTAATACTTGTGAAAATAATTTTAATTTGGATTAAAATTAGTCTCACAAAGAGTTTTATCTTCGTGTTGATGGTTATTATTCTTTAATTTGTATAATAGCCATGTTTGTTAATATATATATATAATTGAATTGAACCAGGTCATGTTTTGCCTGGGTCAATTCACCTTATTCACCTGCAGTCGTATTCACATCCCTCCATTAAACCCTGCGAAAAACTATCGGCTGGTTAAAAGCAAAACGAGAGTTTCTAATGCCAGTGATAAAATAAACTCATATTCTAATGACTTCATTTAGTTAACTGCAGGAGTAAATTTAGTTATCAGAAGGCTGTTAAAGCAAAAATCTAACCCTGCTATACCCTTCTGTTAAAACTGCAAGTGAGAAATTTTCTATAATATTAAGAAAAATAAAAAATGGTATCCAAACAAAACAAGTTTATTGAGTTTTTCTCATTAGAAGTGTTAATTTTTCTTTCTTTCAGTTTTTAAAACGTTAATGTTTCTTAATTAGACGTTTATTGTATTTCATAATAAATACTTTTATTTATCATAAAACTTAATGAATTTTATATCGTACATTATTGCATATACTGTTACAAGCGCATATTTACATACATATACACTATCATACATAAATACATGGATATATACATACATAAAGTATGTAGCATACTTTAAGCATAAGATTATTGTTTCTTACTTGTTTATCTATTTATGTATTACACACACACACACACACACATGGTATATATATTTTATATGTGTAGGTTTATATATTTATATATATGTAATACATGTAAAAATAATATATATATATATATATATATATATATATATATATATATATATATATATATATATATATATATATATACATACATTTTGCTTTTTAAAACCACATTATTTCAAAATAACGCAAGTTGGGGCAGCTAACTTTTTTAGTTTCTAACAGAATGATACAAACTCTCTTTAAATAAAGAATTGGCTTCATGAAGGAAGTCTAAGGTAAAAGTCCTAGCACAATAAAAATCAGTTTAAATTCATAAAAATTGCACTTTTTAAATGCATTTTTTATAAGATGTATAAATACATATTTAAATTTTTTTATAAATTAAGATAAATTTATCTATTATCTTTGTATTCAATGAAAATTAAAATTAAAGATTTTTTATTTAGGGAGAAAATTAAGTTTTAATAATGATAAAATTTTAATGATAAAAAAGAGTTGTTTTCGGTCATTTTCAAACAAAAATTAAATCTATTATTTCAGTACTTATTTTTTTATACTGTTAGAAATATAAGAAACTGTAAAAAATAGTTAGCTAATAACATTGTTTAATTTTCCTCCTCAAAAAACTATATTTTGGCCAAATATCAAGTGCTTCTAATTCACTGTGTGCTGGTTCAATATTAATTCACCTACATGTTGTAAAATCAATTTGTTTGAGTCCACTGACTAATCTTGTGTTACTGGTGCTATCTCGTGCCAGAGTTGTTAATCTTTGGCCTTGCCTTAAGGTCAAATATTAAGGCCTTGACCATGGTCTTGGCCTTGAAACTGTTGGCCTTGTTGTTTTGGTCCTGGCTCTTAAAAAAATATACATAAAATTAAAGAATTAACAGTTTTCATTTTTATTTTTATGCATCTTTTTTTTTCGGCTTTCATATATATATCTATAAAAGTATATTTTCATAACCTTGGTCAATTTTTACAACATGTGGTTGTCACAGTAGTTGCTACCTACAGTTTTATTAATAATTGAACTTAACATAAGGCAAAAATTTAGGCCTTTGGTCTTGAAAATGTTTGTGTAGGCCTAGGCCTTGAAACTCTTATTCTTGGCCTTGACCTTAAAACTCCTGGCCTTGCTACTTTTGGCCTCGTTAACAACTCTGTCTTGAGTTACTGTTTAGCATTTCTTAACTCTCTTGCCATTCTTTTCATTCTTTATTGTTTTCCTTCCTCCTAAGACTGCACTCTTTTGTATATTGTTTCTGATTAAACTGACCAAGCTTTCTTTATCCTAAAACCAATATTATTGGCTACTTTAATGCTCATAACTCTCAATGGCTTGGATACCACTGACCCTTCTGGATGACACATTCACAAAAAACCTGTATTCAAATAAAACATGAAAAACCTTGACTCATTGCTATATTTAAATAAATATTCAACATACTGAAATTGAATTAAAATCAGTTTTAAATTTAATAGAAATAAAATTAAAAACATGTTAAAAACATAACCCTAACCCTGGCGATTGCAAAATAATCGGAGTATTAAAATCTGAGGAGGACAAAAGAACATTGCAAACTGACATAGATAATCTTGTAGATTGGTCGCAGAAATAGAATATGCCTCTCAACTTCGATAAGTGTAAAGTTATGCACGTTGGGCGTGGTTACTCTAAATCTACTCAAACTTATTCGATGCTTGATTTGAGTGGAAACAGAATTCAACTGGACATTAGTAAACACAAACATGATCTGGGAGTACTTCTATCAGACGATCTTAAAGTAAGCTATCAAGTCGAATCAGCAGCAGCAAGAGCCAACAGTAAACTTGGTAGAGTTAAGAAAATTTTTAGAAATCGAGGACTCTTTTTGTGGAAAGTACTCTACAAATCATATATAAGACCCCAGTTTCAATTTGCTATCCAGGCTTAGTCACCACACAATGAAAAAGACATTGCTATTCTAGAACAAGTACAGCATAAAGCAACTAAAACAATATCGGAAATAAAGCATTTGCCATATGAAGAAAGACTTTTCCATCTCAGCTTAACTACTCTTAAAGAAAGGAGAGTTCAAGGTGATCTGATTCAACAGTTTAAAATTTCAAAAGGTATTGATCAAATTATTTTTGATAACCCTCAAGTCTACGCACGATCGATTTACAAAAATAATTAACATGGATATTATCTTCGACTCGAGCGCCAAAGGGTAAAAAACTGTCAAGAAAGATTTTATTTCTTCACTAATCCCATCATGAATGTTTGGAATATGCTACCTTTAAACGCCATAAGAGCTGAATCAGTCAACTCCTTCAAGGTTAGTATTCATAAATTGAAATTCGTAGTAGGCGATAGATCGGACACACGAGTGTCTTCTTTCAGCATGGAAGTGCCTGGTGTAGCACTTCCTCATTAAAATATTTAAATGTATTATATAATTGATTTCTGAAATAAATAAACTCAAACTCATAGGTAAAACTTGATATAATTTGTTTATTAATAACATTTATCTTATTAACATAAAAAAAGTAAAATAAAAACAAAACTAAAATTAAATTACTTGCAAACCACAACATCCAACAGCATTAAGGATAGAGGCATTATGGATGACTTTATAACTAATATTTCTTTCTTTGGCTCGAATTATTAAATCTGTATGTGTTGTCGCACTATGTAAAAGTATTATTAACAAAAATAACTTCAAAAATTTCATTACTATAGTTTTTTTATTATATTATTTGATTTTATTTATTTTAAAGCACAGCATATAATATATAAATATGTAACAATACACACACAGACACACATACACACACACACACCAGGCCTTGTTATAAGATTTTGTTGCATAATGGAAAAGCGTAACGCGAGTAAATGTAACTTTACTCAATAAACATATTTACATCATTAAAAGTTTAACTACATCAGTTCCACATTTTCACATCCTGCCTTGTAATTTAACTTGAATTGAAACCACATTAAAAATCGTTGTAATTCTTTATTTTTATAAAATATTTATAAAATATCTTTAAACAATGTTATACAAAAAATTTAACTATGTTGTTTAAAAACAAAAACAAAAAAAATTTCTTATTTAAAAAAACTTAATCTTATTTAAACTTACTATTTTTTTATATTATTAAACTATAATATTTTTTTCTTAAAACATTTGTCACAAGTTTATTTTTTTAAATGAGGGGGCAATTTTTTATGGTTGAATATCTTAACGGTCAAATAATTAAAAAAACTATCAACGCTTTTTTTTCAACATTTTGGCTTTAAAAAAATCTTTGCATACTACTCATAAACTAGTTAATCCTTTCTTATCAATGTTTATTCTATGATCAGTTCAAAAAACTAATAAAGAAAATTTCTTTGTTAAAAAGCAATTTCAAAATAAATAAAAAAAAATCATCTTTTCATAAATTTTTTATACAGAATTTACTAAAAAAATTCTCTAAAATATTTTAAATAAATCTGATAATATTGCTTACAGGTTTGATTATGGTTTATACCGGCAATGCATTTATATACTGTTATAAGTGCATAAAGCACTTTTTTATATTAGCACTCTCATAGTGGGATGAAAAAACTATTGATTTGAAACTATAAATAAATAAAATAGTTGAATGTAATACGAACATTTCAAAGTAAACTGAGAGTAAAAATTTTTCAAAAAACAAGGGGTTGCACCCTACATTACCAAATTTGCTGAAATTTTGCACAAATGTTTAAAGATTTAAGTTAGGAAAGACTGAATTTATTTCAAATTTTTTTTATCGTTTTAAGAATTACAGCAACTTAAAGGTTGTTAGATTTTGACAGAAAAAAGAGGGGGAGGGGAAAGTGACGGAAATGTATCTGTTTACTATTACCTTTATGAGGTGCTTGTAGTAATTTTGAAGCTAAAATTTGGTACCAAAGGAGTTTAAAACCTGTTTAATCTGAAACTTATTGATTTGTATCTCTTAAAACAATATATAGTTTATTTTAAGATCTACAAAACGCACTCACTAATGACAATAAAAAAGAGCATTGACAATTTCAGCCCTAGAAAAAATCTGACTGATAGAAAAAACATTTGGTTTTAATTTTTTTAAAGATTAGACATACTTTACAAAACAATTTTATTTTGGCCTTATGTTTTGTTGAGGAGTTATTGATATTTCCAGTTTTTCTAAAGAAATTAAAAAAAAAATTAGTTAGCAAATTCATTTTAATATTGAACTAAATAAAATTATATTTGTTTTTTGAGTCAGTTAATTAAAAAAAAACAAACAGTATGTGTGTCATGTGATTTAAATTTTTACAAAACTGCTACAAAATATTGTTCAATATTTTGTAAATTTATAAATTTGTTACTTGTTATTTTCATTACATAACAGTTATGTCATTTGCATTGTTATTTTTATTACATAATAAAATTTATAAATTTGTTACTTGTTATTTTTATTACATAATAGTTATTTCATTAAATTAAACAATTATGTAATCTTTTTTTATTGTTTTATTGTAATAAAAAAGCCATCTTCTCATAAAAAAAAAGAAGCAAATGTACATAATAATATCCAATAAAAATTACCTTGTTAGACAAGACTTTGCTACTATTTAGCGAAAGATGACTTAAAAAAAAAAGTTATGCTTAGGAAATAGAAATTTTTATATTTAAACTTTACTTTTTCAGCCTGAGTTTTAAAATATCACAAAATTTTGTGTTCATATCAAACTTAAATAACTCCTCAAGTAAACGTAAGACCAAAAAAAAAAAAAATGGTTCATAAAGTTGACATCTCAGGACTCAATTTAACGGTCGGACATTTTCAATTTAATGGTCGGACATTGCCGCCCCGGACTATTTTTGAGATCTGATTTATGGGGGCAACCAACCATTGTTCATTTTTACTGTAAAAATCAACAATGGTTTGTTGCTCTCCTCTAGCAGGTCTCAAAAATGGTCCAAGGAGCAGCAATGTCCAACGGTTAAATTGTACCCTATTATCTCTAATAAAATAAAAACAAAACTTTTTTTTTCTATCAGTCAGATTTTTTTAATAGCTATAAATAACCTTTTTTGTTGTCAATATTAAGTACATTTTATGAATCCTAAATTAAACAATATTGCCTTGCTTTGAAAGATACAATGTCCAACGGTTTGATGCTATAAATTTGAACGTTATAAATGTCCTTTTTTGTTGTCGTTAAGTACATATTATGAATCCTAAAATAAACATTACCTTGCTTTGAGAGATGTAAAACTAAAGTTTTGAATTTAGCAGGCAAACTCTTTTGGTACCAAGTTTCAGCATCACAACATTACTAAAAGCACTGTATAAGGGTAATTTCAAAACTAACTGACGGTTCTTTGAGTACTAAAAAATATCAAGCTTGTGACATTTTTTGGTGATAAAACTACAGCTCAACCACAAATATGGATACTTAGCAAATCCTGTGACGATTGGTTGTGTGGATCTTGTTGTTTTATTATGGTCAATACATGCAAGAATTGCCAATAAACATACAAAGCTCATTTAAAGCAAAGTAGTGTCTTTTTGTTAATTGAAAAAACCTTTTTAAACTAATTGAAAAATATATTTTTGATTTTATTAGCCAGTGGCGTAGCAAATGTTTTAATAGCCTAAGTAATAAAATAGTTGATTAATTACAATAAAAATTAAAAAAAACTACTACTTATATTTAAAAAGACCTTTTTTTATGTGCTCCTTCTTGTTTTCTTTGGTGCCCCAAAAGACTTTCTTTTTTTAAAGCCTGGGGTGACGCCTTCCTTAGTTTATTACTGGTATTACCTTTTATTACAGTTTATTACTGGTATTACCTTACTGGTATTAGTTTTTTTTATTTGTGACGTTAAGTTTGATATGTCATTAGTATTTATATAGCGGCCAAACATGAGATGGTATTGAAAATTCGGTCAAAGTAGATGTTTTCATTTTAAATTAAATATTGAATACTAGTTTTTATTTTTCATTTTTTTATTTTTACAATACCAATTATCAATATAATTTTCTGTGTTTCAAGGGAAAAAATTGGAAATTCTTTATTTATGCGTGATAAATGTTCAAAGCTCATGTGATTGAACTTAAGCAATTTTATGGTATATATATTTTAAATTTTTTTAATCAGAATAAGATTATATACTTTTATTAAATTAGATTTAAATTAAATCATATATTTCTTACCAGAATTAAATTACATTATTATGATCTTTGCTTAAAGCATAAATTATTAGAGCTTTTCAAGCAAAAAAATCAATCATTACAATAAAATAAAAATAAAATACCATAATATAAATAAAAGATAAAATAAAATTTAACTTTATTTTATTATCAATTTATTTTAAATAAATTGATATTTTTTTAATTTTATTTTTAAAATTAAATTTTTAATTAAATAGAAATTTAGGTAAATTTCTTTTTTAATTGCAATTAAAAGTTGAATAAAATTATAAGACGATAAATAAAAGTTTTTATTATATATATTTTCTTTTAACATTTCACTCATTAACTTCATATACAAAAAAAAAATTGTCATTAACTATAAACAATTTAGTTTTCTGTTATTAAATATTTGAATAAAATAATTAGCTTAAGAGAGATTAAGTTTTTGTAGTTTTTAATTTTATTTGAGTTTTTTTCATTGTAAATAACGCTTATATCTAATATAATTGTTATTCAAACTTTTGTAACAAACTTTTTATATAACCGTCATTCAAAAGTTTAAGTGTTTACACTCTAGGCGAATGTAAAATTGCTTTATGCATACATAAATTGCTGGCAGCTTAACCCTTTAAAACAAGGCCTGTTACATACTCAAAAATTTAAAAATAAATTAATTTAAATTTAAAAATATATTAATTTAAATTTAAAAACTCTTTTATCGTAAAATATTATATATTAATATATAATATTTTACGATAAATGTTATATATTAACTATTTTATATCTCAAACAATTACTTACCTACCCAAAAGGATCTCCAACAACAAGGAACGCAACATCATTTATCTTTGCTTGGTCAAGAATTTCATCTAAAATAAAGTCATTAATAAAAAATGCAATAAAACCAGTAAGGGAATAATGCTTTTTAAATGAGGGTTTTTTAAAAATATAAAAAAAAGTATGTCAGGGTAATTCCAATTATCAGAGAAGTTATTCCTCTTACTGTCTAAGATATTTTTAAATTTTCAACTAGTGGTACCTATTAAACATGAAATGCCAATTTCCAGTTCACAACTCTAAATGGTTCAAAAGCAATGCCATTTTTAAGTTACTTTAAAACAGGCTATCTTCATTATGGATTCAATACCCTTAAAAAAGGTCAGGTATTAAAGAAAACCTCAACAAAATTAATAATAGAAAACCTTGAAAAAAATAAGGCATTAAATGCTAAATTTAAAAAACTTTTGAACAGTTTGGAGTTAAAAGCTTAAACTTTGCATTTTTTCATGTTTCTCTGGTAGACACTAAAAATTTAATAAAAATCTGAGGGGTGACTTTACATTTTTTTTTGTTCTACTTATACATGGAATTAACTGCAAATGATATCATACTTATTACTATGATAGTAGTAGTAGTACTTGGCAAAAAAAATCTTCCAACAAAAATCTCTTAAAACATTCTCAAAATTTAAAACTGTTGTCTTTAAGTATTTTTTAGGAAAATATTGTTTATAAACCTTATACCTTTCTACAAGTTATTATTTATAACTCTGAGCGTCTATTTATCTAATATTTTTCTCTTTCCTCTTGTGTTATACTAATTTTAATACCTTTTGTTATTGCTTTAATCTTTCTTTATTGCTTTAATCTTTAATTTATTTCTCTAATTAATTAAATTTCAAATTTATGCAATAACCTCTTAGTGTTTAATCTTTATGACCCTACAAAGTTTACAACCCCCTCAAATTGAGGGGGGTTAAAACTTTATATGGTCATAATTTTCGAAAAATAAGAGATTATTGCATGAAATTAAACATTGAAATTTGTTGATGAATATAAACTTAGATAAAAATGCTAAAGAAATTATTTTATCAACTTGTTGCTCTCGCGTTAAGGGCTGGGTGGGCCCAAAAATTTACGTTTTTTTGTCCTCAAGCTCCATTTACCGCAACTATTTGCAAAACATTCTCATTTGACATAAGCATGAACATACAAAAGTTTGGAGTTTGCGCAATACCTGTAAGTGTCAAAACTCAAACATCTAAAAATCCAGTGTACACCACTGTGTGTGTGTGTGTGTATATATATATATATATATATATATATATATATATATATATATATATAAATATAAATAAAACCAAAAGTTTCTCTATCTGAGAAAATACATTAAGATTTAGTAGGACATAAAGGCTTTAGTAGGGCAGCTTGATCTCTCTAAGACAGTTGGACTCTAATGAAAACAGTGGCATTGCCCATAAATTTGTTTATCATAGAATAAAAAATCAATTCAAATTACAAAAGAAAAAAAAAATCCAAAAAAGTGTATTTTTTATTTGTATTTTGTCAAGTCTGAAATAAAACAAAATATAAAAATTTTAAAAATAATTATTTTATAAAAAAACACACTTAGATTTCAATAGGAATGTACTGAATAGGGATGTACTGGATCTTTTTTCTTTTAGATCAATTCGCTTCTGGCTGTAATTAAACTTTTTTTTATGACATGTGACACAGGCTGTGTAAATAAATCAAAAAATTATTATAGTACAGAGTAATGAAGAACTATAGGTAAGCCTCGGTAAAAAATACAGTTTATTTTCAGAAATAGCAGTACTGCAAAAACATTTGCAAAAGTTACATATTATTTTTTACTTCAGTGTACCTATAGTTCTTTATTGCTCTGTAGGATAATGATTTTTTGATTTATTTACACAGCCTGTGTCATAGGTCATAAAGAAAAAGTAAAAAAAAAAAAAAATTAATTCAAGAAAGAAGCTAAGTACTGAGGTTAAAATTTTATCAAAGATAAGATAATTTATTAAAAAATTTTAATAAAACTTTTACTGAATTATTAAATTTTTTAAAAAAATGGTAACAGGTATTATATATATATATATATATATATATATATATATATATATATATATATATATATATATATATATATATATATATATATATATATATATATATATATATATATTAAAACCACCTTAAAAATGAGATATAGTTTATTTCATATATAATAAGTGTTGTATATAATACAGGTCAACAAGGCAAATTTCAAAATATATGTTTAATTTAAAACCTTATTTAATTGAGGGGGTTTATATTTGGTAAACCTTGACTGGCAAGAATTTTATTTGAGAGGTTAAAATAGTAATTTTGTTCGTTTCTGATGACCATTGACTGTTGACCACCTGTTATTTTCCATGACTAATGATAATGCATTTAAACTCTTTATTTTTTTAAATTATGATTCACTCCCAACAAGGCATAGACAACATAATAGTAGTTGCAAGCAACCACTATTGTCTATGCCTTGTTGGGAGTTACAAGAAACAAAGAATAGAGTTATAGAGCAAGGAAAAAAAAAAAAAAAAAGGAATAGTGTCATATAGTAAAGGAATAGTAAAAGTGTCGCAAATAGTAAAAGGAATTGTGTCGCAAAAAGTAAAAACAGAATAGTGTCATAAATAATTAATATATGAATATATGTGAATATATATTTTTTGTTTTTGACACTATTTATTAAACTGCTTTATGACATTATTCCTTTTTGTATTTTCGACAATATTCATTAAATTCATTTGCGACACTGCTCCTTTTTTTTTTTTTTGACACTATTCTGATTTTACTGTTTGCAACACTATTCCCTTTTTTGTTTGTTTTTGACAAAATTCATTAAACTCCTTTTCAACATTATTGCTTTTTCTATTTTTGACACTATTCATTAAACAGAGTATTAACAGTGCCATGTTGCGCATGGATGGTGTACCTGTTAAGGCTTTTGGTGTGCATTGTCAAGGCCACATAAAGAGCCCTATGTCACGGCTTAGGGTTAATTAACAGGACTGAGACAACTGCATAGCACATTGATTAGGAGGCTGTGCTCTATCTATGAATGAGTATAGTTCTCATTAAACCCAAATCATGACCAAAGTAACCAAAAATTTAAAACCTAAAAAACCATCCCCACCACCTAAATATTTTAATATATCTTTTACAAATATTCGCGGTCTACAAAGCAACTTTCCATCAGTTGAGTCTTACCTCCTGCAAAATTCACCAGACTTGCTTGCACTCAGTGAAACAAATTTAAATTCTGCAATTCCTTCTTCAGATGTCAGTGTTGATGGGTACTATCCTTTGATTCGTAAAGACTCCAATAGTCACATGCTAGGTTTAGGGGTATACATACGCATTAATTCCCCTATTTTTCGTGAAATCAGGTTCGAATCCTTTGACCATTCTTTTATGTGTTTTCGCCTAGCACCTCTTCACTCTATCACCTTTCTCTTTGTTCTTTATCGTTCTCCTTCTTCCCATGATTGCAATCTTTTAGATGTTATCTCTGATCAAATTGACCATTCCCTCTATCTTTACCCCTCTGCCAATATTGTTGTTGTTGGTGATTTTAATGCCCATCACACTGAATAGCTTGGCTCTAACACCACTGATCCTGCTGGCACTAAAGCCTTTAACTTCTGTGTTTCTCAAACTCTAACTCAGATAGTTAACTTTGTGACTCATTTTCCTGACAACCCTAATCATTTACCTTCACTCCTTGACTTATGTCTTGTCTCTGACCCTAGCTTATGTTCAGTTTCTCCCTTTTCTCCCTTAGGTGGTTCTGACCATGCAATAATCTCTATAAATCTTTTTTCTCGTACTTCTTTTTTGGGCTCACCTTATCATCGCACCGCCTACTACTACCCTAAAGCTGTATGGATTCCTTTCGTGATTTTCTTCGTGATGGTCCTTGGGCTGATGTTTTTTCTCTCTCAGCTGACAAATGCGCCTCCTACGTAACCTCCTGGATTCAGGCTGGAATGGAAGCTTTTATTCCTTCTCGTCGGTTTCAAGTCAAGTCTCATTCTACTCCATGGTTTTCTCCTTCTTGTGCGGCTGCTATATCCAATCAATCATTTTTTTCATCTTTTTCAAAAGAACAACTCTCTTGAGAACAAACGGCTATTTATTATTGCAAGAAAACGATGTAAAAAGGTGCTTTCTGATGCTAAACTCCATTATTCTCAGTTCACTAAATCTAGCATCTTATCGCAGAAGTTAGGCTCTAAAGACTTTTGAAAAATCTTCAACAGCATTGTTAGCAAGGGTAGATCGAACATTATATCTCTCATTCATGGGACTGATCTTATTACCTCTCCAAAGGATAAGGCAGAACTATTTGCAAAAAACTTTTCTTCTAATTCCACTCTTGAATCTTATGGACATTCTCTTCCTTCCATTCCAGTCAAACAGGTTGACCCATTGTTAGATATTCAAATCACTCCGGCTTCTGTTGCTAAAGTCATATCTCAATTAAACTCGTCTACAGCTTGTGGTCCAGACAACATTCCTGTCACAGTCTTGCAGAATTGTTCTCCAGAACTTTCTTCAATTATCTCTAAACTATTTAACAAGTGTTTGACTGAGTCTTGTTTTCCTGCTTGTTGGAAAATGGCATCTGTGGTTCCAATATTCAAAAACTCTGGAGAAAATTCTGACCCCTTCAATTATCGTCCGATCAGTCTTCTTTCTGTTATTAGCAAGGTCTTTGAGTCTTTGATCAACAAATTCCTCACATCTCATCTTGAGTCAAATAAACTACTGTCAGACAATCAATACGGTTTTTGATCCTCTTGCTCTACGACCGACTTGCTAACTGCTGTAACTGAAAGATTTTATTGTGCATTAGATGGAGGCGGTGAGGCTAGGGCTATTGCTCTCGACATATCTAAAGCTTTCAACAAAGTTTGGCATGCTGGTCTTCTCCATAAGCTTGTTTCATATGGTGTTTCTGGGAAAGTTTTTGAGATTATCAAATCATTTCTTTCTAACCGGTTTATTAAAGTCATCCTTGAAGGCCAATACTCTTCTTTATCTCCAGTAACTTCTGGGGTTCCCCAAGGTTCCATCCTGGGCCCTGTTTTGTTTCTTATCTACATAAACGATCTTCCTGACAACCTTTCATCTAAAGTAGCTCTTTTTGCTGATGACTCAACTTTATACTCCTGTCTTGACAAAAAGTCTTCTCTTTTCGATCGCCTAGAACAAGCAGCTGATCTTGAATCTGATCTCACTTCAGTAATAGATTGGGGTTCACAGTGGCTTGTGAATTTCAACTCTAAAAAAACCCAATCGCTTACTGCAAACAACTACCGTAATATGGTCAACATTCCTATATTAATGAATGACAATCCTCTTACTGAGTCCTCCTCTTTATGTCTTCTTGGATTATCGCTTACTACTGACCTTTCATGGAAACCATATATACAATCGATTGCTAAACTAGCTTCTGCTAAGGTTGCTTCTCTTTATCGCGCTCGCCATTTTCTTACTTCTGATTACATTCTCTACCTCTACAAATCTCTTATTCGTCCCTGTATGGAATGCTGTTGTCATATTTGGGCTGGTTCTTCTAACGATTCACTTTCTCTTCTTGACAAGGTCCAAAAACGCATTGTAAATGTTGTTGGACCTGGACTATCTGCTAAGCTTGAACCTTTTTCCCATCGTCGTAAAGTTGCATCTTTTTCTCTTTTCTACAGATACTATCATGGTCACTGCTCAAAGGAGTTATCATCTCTAGTTCCATCAACTAAAATTCGTTCTCGTTTTACTCGTCATTCAGCTAAGTCTCATTCGTTTACTGTATCTGTCCCTGCATGCTCTAAAAACTTTTATTCATCTAGTTTTTTTCCCCGCACTTCAATCCTTTGGAACTCTCTCCCATCTTCATGTTTTCCTGACTCATAAAACCTTCAACTTTTCAAGTCTTCTGTCAACCGTTTCCTTGCTCTATAACTCTGTTCTTTTTTTTCCTAGTAACTCCCAACTTAATAGTGGTTGCTGGCAGCCTTGTTGGGAGTGAATGCAAATAAAAAAAAAAAAAAAACTCATTTTCAACATTATTTCTTAAGTTATTTGATAATCAATAATGCAATAATTTGCAACACATTTTCCTTTCCTTTTTCACATTTTCAAAAATCAAAATTATGTGACACTATTCCGCCACACCCACTAAACTTTACTACATAGTTCAAACCTGCGCCTTGTTCAACTAGGTTTCGATCAGCAAGAGTTAGTTCCCTTCCATAAAAGCTTTCCTGAAAAAAAAAAGTACTTGTCACATCATTTTATTGCTTTTTATATTTTTGTATGTACATATATATATGTATGCATGTATATATGTACATATATATATATGTATGCATGTCAAGATGATGATCAAAAGATGATCAAAAAATCTCTTTTTATGTAATCTATATAGTAAAATAACAAACTAAAAAAGTTAGCTATTAAAACATATTTTCATATATGTGTGTGTGTGTGTGTGTGTGTGTGTATATATATATATATATATATATATATATATATATACAGGCTTCGGCAGGAATAAAAACCGTACGGGCTATGAAAAGCCCGTCTTAAATAGACTTGGCGGGCTATGAGGGCCGCCCGTCTAGATGGTCTTGCACGGGCTTTTTTAAACTTTAAAAAAAATTCTAAAGTTTGAACTTTTTTTTTTTTAAATTTGTTAATTTCTCTTCTTCTTTTTGAATGAAAATGTCATTGAATATTAAACATTTTGTGAATTGCACTAAAATAATATGTTAGAAAGCGATTAACTGTTTAAAATGCTTAATTACTTAAGTAATTAAAACACTGCAGTAAATGAGTTGGATAATAGTTAAAATTAAGATTTCAATAATTGTTTTTCAAAGTTTTCACTTGCACAGATCTAATTTCGTTTCACGTGGGTTAG